GGGGGGGGGGGGGGGGGGGGGGGGCATTGACTTCAATGCAACCCCATGCCCCCTCCCGCAGGGAGCTGGCCGGGTTGCGTTCCAGAGGCCGAACGCTCTGGAAGGCACTCTTTGTGGTGTGAACCGGCCCTTACAGAAGTACCGAGTTCCTCTACTTCACCTGTAGATGTACACTATATGGCAAAATGTTTGATGACCCCTGACCAGCACACCGACCACTATGTAGGCAAAAATATGTGGACAACCCTCCAAGTCATTGGGTTTGGACATCTCCAGTGAAGGGTGCTGTCAATGCTACGTCATACAAAGACATTTAGACAATTGTGAGCTTCTAGCCTTTGGTGAAGGACCGTCCCCTGTGCACAAAGCCAGCTCCATAAAGACCTTGACTGATGAGTTTGGTGTGGAGGAACTTGAGTGGCCGTCACAGAGCCCTGAACAGTGAACACCTTTGGGATGAATTGGAATGCTGATTGCCAGCCAGGTCTTCTCATCCAACATCAGTACCTGACCTCACGGAGCTCTTTTGGTGAAATAGCAAAAATTCCAAAATGTCGTGGAAAGCCTTTTTGGAATAGTGGAAGCTGTTATAGCTGCAAAGGGAGAAACTCCATAGTACTGGCCGTGGTTTTGGAAGGGATGTCCAACAATCTCATATAGATGTGATGGTCAGGTGTCCACAAATGTTTGGCCAGTCCGTTGGCCAATGTTTGGCAACAAAATTTTCGCATAGCGAATGCATCCGGTACACTTTTGACCCTATAAAACTGAATTTAAAAAAACGACCCATAAAAGACCTATCAAGCAATTCATTTATTGGACTGACAAGTATTTATAGCGAATAATACCAACATGAGCTGATTCATGATTCATTGGGTGTCAGCAGGAACAGGAGCTGGCCGGGTTGCGTTCCAGAGGCCGAACGCTCTGAAACGCACTCTTTGTGGTGTGAACCGGCCCTTACAGAGGTACCAGGTTCCTCTACTTCACCTGTAGATGTACACTATATGGCAAAATGTTTGATGACCCGTGACCATCACACCGACCACTATGTAGGCAAAACTATGTGGACAATCATCCAAATCATTGAGTTCAGGTGTCTCCAGTGGGTACTGTTAATACTACAGCAACAAAGACATTAAAACAATTGTGCGTTTCCATACTTGGGTGAAGGTCCTTTTCTGTTACAGCATGACTGTCCCGTATGTACAAATTCAGCTCCATAAAGACATGGTTTGATGTGGAGGAACTTGAGTGGCCTTCACAGAGGCCTGACCTCAACCCTACGGAATACCTTTGGGACAGCGGTGTATTTAACTTTGGTGCTGCCCTAGGCAAGGCAGCAACGCCGCCCCCCCCGGACTGACCCGCTGCTTCTCGGACAGCACCTCCCCCCCACCGGAACAGCCGCTCCACCGGGCTTACAGACTCACCGCAAAACAACGCCGCCCGCCGCCTGCACACGCCGTCCACTCCAGGCCGACGTCCACGTCATCGCATCCAGGTCAGTAACCCTCGCGGTGCCGCCCTCAACGAATCTGCCGCTCCAGGCAAACGCCTTGTTTGCCTCGCGGCAGATACGCCCCTGCTTTGGGATAAGATAGAACACTAACTGCCAGAGAGGTCTTCTCGTTCCACATCAGCACCTGACCCTACAAAGCTCTTTTGGCTAAAAGGATACAAATTCCCACAGACAACCTCCAAATTCCAGTAGAAAGCCTTCCCAGAAGAGTGGAGGCTGTTATAGCTGCAAATGGGGGGCAACTCTATGGCTTTGGAAGGGATGTCCAACAAGCTCCTATAGGTGCAATGGTCAGTTGTCCACAAACCTTTGGCCATATAGTGTGTGTCATCCTACCTTGAGTTTTTTTGGCAATTCAAAGATAAAGGTGCCAGATCCTGCCGGAGTTCAGTTCTCATTGTATTAGTCACCGTCAGGGAGACAGCTTAATAGATCTGAGCGGGTTTGACGTTCATCGCTGAAAATTTAGCAGAAGACAAGAAATCTGTAATCTGTAAAAGACCAGAAATAATTCACTACGCGTGTCAGTAGTGTCAACGAGGACATCACATGCTGCTGGGATGAAGAAAGCCAAGGTCAAAGCTGCAGCTAACAATAATTAACGGGTCCCTAGTGTGTTGTGTATATTATGAATCTTCGTAGCTTTATCTACCCGCCCACAATTATATTACAAAGTGGTAGTTTTGGCACTTTTCTATTGCTTTGGTCACCTCTAGGACCTCCTCTAACACCCATGGACCAGGAAAGCGTTTCATTAACAAGCACCAAGAAGGTGGAACGACATTCTCGTTGACATCAGGAAAAATAACAAACTATAAATTAAAACAACAGAAAAGTTTTCTTTCACAGTCGTTAAAATACGCGCTTGGCTGACAGTTCTGAGCAACCCAATAATTTGTCATCCCTTTCTGTACATAGACATCCCACTTCTAGGAGGAACTATAAAGCCATCCACAACTCTGCCCCCGGATATATCTCAGACCTTGTCTCAAAATATCACCCTAACCGTCCCCTCCGCTCCTCCCAAGACCTCCTGCTTTCCAGCTCCTAGTCAACTCCTCCCATACTCGCCTCCAGGACTTCTCTAGAGTCTCTCCCATCCTCTGGAACTCTTTACCCCAACCTGTCCGTCTATCTCCCACCTTGACTGTCTTTAGGCGTTCTTTAAAGACTCATCTCTTCAGGGAAGCCTATCCCACCTCAACCTAACCACTGAACCATCACGTTCTCAAGCAATTCATCACCACGCAGCTACCTCCACATGTATCACTTCCCCCTCCTCTTTCAGATTGTAAGCCCTCAGGGGCAGGGCCCTCCTTACCATCTTGTCTTGAATTGTATTGTAATGCTTCCTTACATTGTAAAGCGCTGCGCAAACTGTTTGCGCTATATAAATACTATGTAATAATAATAACTCGGATCACAAGAATGCCGGTCCTCAAACAAGCATGAAAGGATCTGTGAATGTAAAGACTACAATTCCCATCTGACAGCACGGCAGAGGAACTTGTAGATCTCAGTGAAGCACAAGTGAGGTCTCCACACTGGTAGTCCACTGGTTACTTCCTTCAGTACCATAACCGAAGGGCTGTACCGTATGGACCCGGGGCTTGCATCCATGATCCACTGATCACAATTGCAGGCGCAAATGCAAACAACTATTAAAGGCACATTTTTTTATTTCATTAATGTGTGTGCGTTTATTAATATTTTGCAAAATGTGTACCATTAATCGGGCCTCCGAATGAAGGATTTACATTTGCACCCATAAAAGGAACCTATTGCTTGCTTGGACTACTATCCACAAGGAAATGATCCCTATCTTCTCCACCATCCTTATCTGCCGCTGCAGCACATTGAAAACACAGTACTTCTGGGCAATGTGTGACAGTCCACCTACATCCTAGGCCTGGGGGCCGTCACATGGTGGTACACAGACCTGGGCAAATTTCGATTTTGTGAAAGGGGACATTTGTACAGGAATGTGTAGGAAGGGGATGGGGGTAAAGAATATATGTGGATCCCCCTATTAAGCACACCTGTCCCTTTCCCTGGCTTAGACTGAGTATTCTTTAAGGTTTACTTTGCACACTTAAGGGTTGGAGGTCACAAAAAGTCTGACAGCTGCTTCCCTGTCAACTGGCTGCCTGACACTGTCCTCTATGCATGATGGCCGACACGTCTGGTTATCACCTGGAGCACCGGTGACCGGTGCCAATCAGGAGATGACGAATAGCTCAGCATTCAAGCAACATGTCACTACGCCTAAATTGACCCCCAACTACTGCAGTAACCTTACCTTGTGCTTGCCTTCTGTCTTGTGTTCCCACGTGCTACTTCAGCTGTCCGTTATTACAGTGCGCACTGTGACCCCTGAGTATCCTGTGTCAACTGGTGACCCCAGTGTGCTCCTTGACGCCAGTCATCTCTGAGCCTCCTGTGTCATCCCGTGACCCCAGTGAGTCTCTTGACTCCAAAGATCTCTGAGCCTCCTGTGTCATCCCATTACCCCTGTGAGCCTCGGTGCTCCCCTTGACTTCAGTGACCTCTGATCCTGCTGTGTCATCTGATGACCCCAGTGCGCCACATGATTCCAGTGACCTCTGAGTATCCTTTGTCATCCAGTGACCCAAGTGAGCTTTTTGTCTCTAAAGAACAATGAGCCCCCTGTGTCCTCCCATGACACCAGTGAACCCCTGTGAACTTCAGTGACATCTGATTCTCCTGTGTCATCTGATGACCCCAGTGTACCCCATGACTCCAGTGACCCTTGCGTATCCTGTATCATCCGGTGACCTCAGTGCTTACACTGAGACTCCAATGACCTCTGAGCATCTTGTGTCATCTGATCACCCCCTTGAATCCATTGAGCTCTGATGACCCCAGTGTGCCCTGTGACTCCAGGGACCTCTGAGCATCCCGTGCCATCTAGTGACTCCAGTGATCTCTGAGTATTCTGTATCATCTGGTAACCACAGTACACCCGTATGCCCTGTGACTCCAGTTCAGCACAGGGCATCCTGTGCCATCTAGCTACTCCTAGACACAGGCCCAGATTCCCCACAAGGCCACCGAGGCCCGGCCTCGGGGTGGCAGGGCGCAGAGGGGCGGCAGCAGTGTCCTTGTGGGGAAGTTGCCCTCTCTACATTCACTCCTGCATTGTACAAGTAGGACTGACCAGACTGTCCTTCTCTCACTGGATACAGACCCCTGTCCTTGACACCTATCAGTCATGCTCTTTCCCTCCAATAAAAACAGAGACATGTAAATAAAAGGAAGGGGTAATGGGCAAATCTGCACACTTTTTACATCATAAAATGAACATGTGCTTTGCACATGCAGCACATAAAACTAGAGGGACTCTAACAAAGCCTTCCTCTACCTACCCCCATGTGACAGTGCACGGCCCATCACCAAGCATACGCCCCATACTTGGAAGTACCGTATTTTCCTAACTCACGGCAGCTGAATAGAATGGTGGGGGAGCGGAGGAAAGGTGCACATGTGCTGCTGGAAACGGAGCCACTAAAATGAACCATTTGCTCTACCCTGAATGTGTAAAACATAGGTTTGCTTTAGGGCTGAGTATTCAGATATACCCTTTAGATGTTTGTACGGCTCAGGGATAACACTTCTACTTCAAAGTCTCATTCATGTAAATGTCCAGTTAACTTTGGAGGACCTCAACCTGCAGGAAGTCCCACCTTGTACTGATACGTCAAATTCTTCTTGGCCAAGCTCATGTCTCCTACACCGTATCAGATTTTAGAGGACCGATGCAACTGTAACAGTCTTTTGCTATGACTGTGTCTGCTGGTCTGAGGACTAGGTCCTGAAACATCTTCCCTGGGCATTAAGGGTTGTAGTTCTTGCTGCTGGATATCTGTTGGGTCCCTGTGGCTTCTGCCACCTTGTGATGGAGTACTAGAAAAGGGAAAACAGCTACAGGTCTCCGGTAGAGTCTGAAGGCCTGGAGGAGTGCGGATATCTTGTTTTAAAGACCTGGCTGCGTCGGCCTGGAGGTCAGGAGCTGGAGGAGACCCGATGCTCTCCAGAGAGGAGATGCTCTGCTTCCAGGACCTCTTGAGATCCACTGGGACGATCTTTGTAGTCTCTGAAGAGATGCACACCGTGTTCTGATCTGGGTCTCCTTTCCACGGCAGCACTTTCTCAGCCATGGTTGGCGATGGTGGGATAAGACGAGGACTCTGGCAGACTCCCAGCATTCCTGTGGACAGTAAACCTTTGTTAGACTTCAAGCATTGACAACATGGAGGAGGTTTCTAGTTATGAGATAGTTACACTATAGGGCTCAATGTTTGTGGACACCTGACCATCACACCTACACTATATTGCCAAAAGTATTGGGACACCCCTCCAAATCATTGGATTCAGGTGTTCCGTGACATTTCCTTGCTACTAAATATTCCGCGGTCACCTGTTACTGGTATTATAACAAAGTGGAAGCAACTGGGAACAACAGCAACTCAGCCAGGAAGTGGATGGCCACGTAAAATGACAGAGCGGGGTCAGCGCATGCTGAAGCGCACAGTGCGCGGAAGTCGCTAACTGTCTGCAGAGTCAATAGCTACAGACCACAACAGATTGGCACAACAACAGTGCGTAGAGAGCTTCATGGAATGGGTTTCCATGGCCGAGCAGCTGCATCCAAGCCTTACATCACCAAGTGCAATGCAAAGCGTGGGATGCCGTGGTGTAAAGCACGCCGCCACTGGACTCTAGAGAAGTGGAGACGTGTTCTCTGGAGTGACCAATCACGCTTCTCTGTCTGGCAATCCGATGGACGTGTCTGGGTTTGGCGGTTGCCAGGAGAACGGTACTTGCCTGACTGCATTGTGCCAAGTGTAAAGTTTGGTGGGGGGGGGATTATGGTGTGGGGTTGTTTTTCAGGGGTTGGGGTCGGCCCCTTAGTTCCAGTGAAGGGAACTCTTAAGGCATCAGCATAACAAGACATTTTGAACAATTTCATGCTCCCAACTTTGTGGGAACAGTTTGGGGATGGCCCCTTCCTGTTCCAACCAGTGCACAAAGCAAGGTCCATAAAGACATGGATGGGGGAGTTTGGGGTGGAGGAACTTGACTGGCCTGCACAGAGTCCTGACCTCAACCCGATAGAACACCTTTGGGATGAATTAGAGCGGAGACTGCGAGCCCGGCCTTCTCCCCAAACATCAGTACCTGACCTCACACATGGTCCAACATTCCCATAGACACACTCCTAAACCTCGTGGACGCCTTCCTAGAAGAGATGAAGCTTTTATAGCGGCAATATTGAACCCTACGGACTAAGACTGGGAGGCCATTAAAGTTCCTGTGCGTGTAAAGGCCGGCGTCCCAATACTTTTGGCAATATAGTGTATATCATTTTGTTGGACATCACATTCCACAACCATGGGCAATAATATGGAGCCCCCGCCCCCCTTGGCTGTCCCCCAGATTTTTGAATGTGCCTGAGGGAATTTAGCCAACACAGCATTTGTAAGGTCAGGTACTTGACCTGAAATTTAACGTAAAGCCAACATTTTTTTTTGCTTTGGGTGGAGTGGGGAAGGGTTGGAACTTCTGTCAAGTTCTTTTTCCTCTTACCGGTCACTGAAACCCCTTGAAGGATCTCATCTGTTGCTCGGGCCACAAAGGTGATCCCCTCGTCCTCTTCTATCTCAACGTTGGAACACTCGTCTTCCGAGTCGGCTGTGATCACAATAGACGCTGATCGGGACACACAAGACGGAGTTAAAGATTCCAATACTAATTCTATAATCAAAGGACATCTGACAGAAGAGAACCCATAGACTGCACTGCTGACAATGCTAGCTGCCTGGCTTTCTGAGTCACTGTGGTCCAGGTGGTCAGAGCTTCTCATCTGTGAGTTCTGGGACAGAGACTGCCAAATTGCTGATAAAAGATGATCATGATGACAGCCAGGAAACTGGCATTAATTAGCCGTTCATGTGTACCATACTACAAATTATTAAAGAGGAAATGAACTGTGCCCAAAAGAAGACAAGCAGAGGGCAAAGGACTAGTCACCAGTATAGTCAGTGGTCTCCCTGCAGCTGATCATTCCTCCATTACTGACTTGCCATGCCTTGTTCTGCACTGTGCCTTTGTGAGGAGGCGGCCATCTTGGTAGAGGCAAAGCTTTACTTCAGTCCTTCCTGATGACTGGTGGGGGGAATGATCAAGAAGCAGTAGAAGACGGAGGTGGAGAAAGCACAGATCCACAGAATGCATGAAGCAGAAGCAGGGAGATCCTTGCACAGCAGGTCCTCAGGTACAGCTTCCCCTCCAGCAAGGAGAACAGTGAGCAGCACAGAAGTGACATCATCAAATCTCACTCTGAAACTCCTGAGACCAGCAGTGCCTTAGCTGTCACACTGCAGATATGCACCTATGGTGCTGCAGGTACGGGGTGCATGGGCACACTCGCATATCAGGAAGTACACTGCTATTTTTAGGAGGAATTTAAGACAACAGGTGGATTCTTCAGGGTATTCCTTAGAAATTTGGTTTTACATTTATTGACAAATCTTCGCTTTTTGAGTTCATTTCCACCTTAAAATCAACTTTTTAATGTTTTGGAGAGAGTGGAATCCTGTTTTGGGTTTTTATTTCCCTCACTTCCTGTTCTGGCGACACACCGGAACAGGAAGTAAAGGGAAACCCGCCCACCAAATCTAACAAATAAATACCAAGAGTTGGGCTTCACCTTTAAGCCGTACTCCATGGACGAGGTTCGGATCTCACCTGTGTTTTGCCAGCTCACAGCCTTGCTTTGCCTCCCGTTTCGTGACTCGAGGTCTTCGCTAACTCTCCTCTGTGGAGGAACATTGGAAAAGAAAAATGTGTTAAAATATAAAATCGTGAGCTGTCCGAGTTCAATATGACGGCAGGTAAACCCCAACAATGAACTTCTCTTGTTTGCTCCCTCGGAGACATGTGCCCTTGAAAGTGTTTTGTTATATCTGTTCAATAAGTGCAAAAAAATAGCTGTTGATCCTGCCAGAAATCTCATGAGAAAATAACTTCCTGTGCCGCACTCATATCAGTTACATTAGTCCCACATCTCTTTTTAGACTACAAACACCTTCCCCTTTGTTATCGAGAAGTGGAGAGGAAGATGTTCTGTAGGTTATCCTAAAGTGACAACACTGCTCCTCCATAAATACAGTACAGGGAGTGAGTGTTGTCACCCTAGTTGTTCTATAGTCCTGTTCTAGGGTGACAACGCTGCTCCTCCACAGATACAGTACAGGGAGTGAGTGTTGTCACCCTAGTTGTTCTATAGTTCTGTTCCAGGGTGACAACGCTGCTCCTCCATAGATGCCATAAAGGGAGTGAGCATTGTCACCCTAGTTGTTCTATAGTCCTATTCTAGGGTGACAACGCTGCTCCTCCACAGATACAGTACAGGGAGTGAGTGTTGTCACCCTAGTTGTTCTATAGTCCTGTTCTAGGGTGACAACGCTGCTCCTCATTTGATGCCATAAAGGGAGTGAGCATTGTCACCCTAGGTGTTCTACAGTTCTCTGCTAGGTTGACAACACTGCTCCTCCACAGATACAGTACAGTGAGTGTTGTCACCCTAGGGCAGGAATTGTGCAGGATCACCAGGTGAAATAACAGGAAAGAAGCCTGAAAAAGGAAAACGAATGCAGCCGCCATGTTTAAGGTTTGATAAGCTGCAGTATATATTACATTTCTGTATCTTGGGATCAGGTATGCGATCGGCTTTCTCTAACGACAGACAGATGGTCAGGTGACCAGGCTATTGCTTTCCAGAGCAGTCACAAAGCCTGGACCTCAGGGGCCCCTGGACAATGGAAGTGACCTATGTCCCTCATGGCTGGCAGGATGTGCTGCTACATTAAACTGTCACTTGACACAATCGCAGGTGGGAAACCTCACCGCTGAAAGGACAAAGGAAATCGAAGACAAAAGAATCTATAAAAAGATACACAGCCGACATTGCAAAATATTGTATTGTAAGGAGCTGAATGCTGAATGGGAAGGTGTACTTGTCTGCTAACAATTATATGAGGGCGGCCAACCCAAAATTAAAGGGACAGTTCATATACAAGTGAAGAGCCTGGGGACTTGAGTCAGACTTTTGTTTCTCATATGTCTCCAGATGATGCCACACCAAGATCTGCCTGCCATAGCGCCAAACTATGTTCCTGTCCACCTGGGGGGTATGAGTGTTCCTGCCCATCTCTGTGTGTTCTCACCTCCTCCTCTTATATTCAACTTTATATACATATATATAATAAATAGAAAATCCATGGTGGGAGCTCCTCATAATGGGCACAGCAGGTGTACAGACCCGGGAACTGAGCACAAGGGTGGTGGGAACTCCTCATAATGGGCACAGCAGGTGTACAGACCCAGAAACTCAGCACAGGGATGGTGGGAGCTCCTCATAATGGGCACAGCAGGTATACAGACCCGGAAACTCAGCACAAGGGTGGTGGGAACTCCTCATAATGGGCACAGCAGGTGTACAGACCCAGAAACTCAGCACAAGGGTGGTGGGAACTCCTCATAATGGGCACAGCGGGTGTACAGACCCAGAAACTCAGCACAGGGATGGTGGGAGCTCCTCATAATGGGCACAGCAGGTGTACAGACGCGGGAACTTAGCCCCTCATAATAGGCACAGGCTCCTCCTCTCTAAAAAGACCTTAAAACTGCTAACAGGTCCTCTTTATAGTACATGATACAATCTACTGCTGGATGTGGCGGCCGCTGGAGAGAAATACTTTTGCTTGATTGCTTTCCATCGTCATAGTGTTCCCCTGTATCTGTCCTCGGGAGGCCATTTAAATGAGTCTGTATAGCAGAGCCTCAAAAGGTATTTCCGAAGGCCATTTATCCCCAGGACTCTCCAGTCCGCTGTCACGGTCCATTTTGCACCAAAAGATCAAGAGGTGTCTTTGTATTGTGTTCAGCGGAGCAGAGATGACAGTCTCTAATCATCGCCCCTCATCCAGAGAAAGATAAACTTACTTAGTGATCATCGGAAGAATGAGCAGGATCCCAATTTGGAGGAATCAATCAAGTGTTCCAGTGAATGGGGGAAACTCAGCACCGTGGATGGCGGCTAATCTTTCTACATCCAGCTGGTTTAGGAAGATAAAGGGGAACTCCCCCCCCCCCCCGGGGTGAATTTACTTTAAACCCCAACTTACTTTGTTCGCCGGGATGAGCTCAGATAGCATACTCACCAACCCAATGAATCCAGCGTTGTCAAACTGTGCCCGTTCATCCCCTGCCGCACACTGCCGCCATCTTGAAAGGTGCATGAGCAGACACACCGCTGGCCTCTTCAAGGTCCCTTACCTGTAGCATGTGTAGAATCTGCACATGTGCAGACTGCCACGGCTCCTTGCCAGGTCCCATAGACCATATAGCACCTGACAATGACCTGTGTTGTGTTTGTGCATGCACCGAATCTGCCATGCATGCGCAGACCACCCCTGTTTTGTTTTCTGCTAGGTCCTATATGGTGTATAGGACCTGGCAGAGACAATAGACTATATGGTGTATAGGACCTGGCAGAGATAATAGACTATATGGTGTATAGGACCTGGCAGAGATAATAGACTATATGGTGTATAGGACCTGGCACAGACCATAGACTATATGGTGCATAGGACCTGGCAGAGACAATAGACTATATGGTGTATAGGACCTGGCACAGACCATAGACTATATGGTCTATGGGACCTGGCAGAGAGCCATGGCAGTCAGCACATGCGTGCATTCTACACATGCGCAGACACGCTGCTGATAAGGGATGTGCAAGAGGCCAGTGGCATGCACATGCAGAAAATCTCGCAAACTGACTTCTGGGATTTGTGATACAGCCATCCCAGGAGGCAGTGGGGGCCAGATACGCCATCCTCGCCTAGGTGAGGAGAAGTAAAGCTATTTGCTATTAAAAATGTATTCCTGAAATTGTGTAAGAGAGGGGGGGGG